CAAGAAGATTATGAATAAAAAGCTTCAAGTTTGCAACGGATAACAAGCAGACATTATACTTTTTTGGGGGCGGTCATTACGATATATGACTGGTTGGTTTTATAACTTTTATTTGACTAAATATTATTATTATTTAAACAATAGCTTTCAAAGTTTAGAAGCGGCAAGCCTGAGAGTGTTGGTCCCTGAGAACCGTCGGACGACCGGTAGCACGAGAGGCTGCCGAAGGTTCCAGAGAAAGTTCAGGAATGTTGACATCAGTCACATCAAATAAACGTTTCAGAAAAAGAAGGAAAAATTAGCATCATAAAACGTTGATTAGAAACACAAACTGGCATCATAAAACGTTGATTTAAAATTAAAAAAAAAAAAAAAAAGCTGATATGTACGTAAAAGAGAAGAGATCAGCAGCCCAAAAATGAAAACATAAAAAAGAAGATAGCAGGTCCACAACACGGAGAGGAAGAGGACACGAAAAAGGAGAAGGAGACAGAGCAGAAGCAAAGAGAGAAACGCGAATAGAGAGGAAGAGGACAAGACAGAAAAACTTCCCGATGCAAATTAAAGATGAATAACGTTCAAGTACTTTACAAAATCATAATTTAAAAAATGCAGTCTATAATGGGGGGCGGGGCCGGGGCGGAATCATTCTAAATACTAAATGTACTACTAGATAATTTTCAATTTCTAAATACTAAATGTACTACTAGATAATTTTCAATTTCTCCGGTCAAATATGCGTCAAAACGGGGGGGTAGGGGGGGTAGGGGGGGGTTAGGGGGGGGGTATTCATTCTCAATACTAAATATTAGATTTTTCCTGTTTTGTGTGCAAATCTCCCATCCATAGATTCTGAAGGGTTTTCCATACGAGTTCAGTATATATTGTCACATTGTGAATCAGAGCGCAAAAAAGGGGAAAGAAAAAAGGAAAAGGAAAAAAGGGGGAGGGGGAAGAGGTAAGGAAAGCTCCACCTGTTCATTGAGGATGTAATGACTCTCCGGGACGATTGAATACAGAATTTTCAAATTCGACTTTCCTTTTAATTTTTGAATTAAAGGAAGGAAAACTCCGGTCAAATATGCGTCAAAACAATCCAATCTAAAAGAAGAAAAACTAAGTAAAACGGGATAAAAAAAATGTAGGAAATACTAAAAAACAAAACACAAGTGATTGGCGGGGAACGTACGTAGTCACTTATACAAGAATATACAGAGAATCTAAAATATTAGTTCAAACACAACTCCCATAAAAAGTAGAGGACGGTCACGAATGGTGCTGAGTGAACACGAAATCGACGAAAGATGGGCGAGAAAGGGTAACAGGAAAAAGAGAAAAAGGAGAGAAAGGAAGAGGAAAAAAGGAGAAAAAGGAAGGGGATAGAAAGGGAAGAAAAAAGAGGAAAAGGAGCAAAAAGGAGAAAAAGGAGAAAAAGGGAGAAAAAAGGAGAAAAAGGAGAAAAAAAAGAAAAAGGAGAAAAAAGAGGACGGTTTGCAAGCGCGAGGTTTGGGGAATGCATCGTGTGGGGGTACGACAATGCTATCGGTTTCCATTTGGGAAAAACAGTAAAAGGGAGGGCCATGGAAGGGAGCAAGCGGGGATATACAGTAAAAACCCAAATTTACAGTATCTCCTGAATGTCATGGGCAATAACGAAATGCCATGGGAGGGAGGAAGCGAGCACCATATGACTACTACAGTAGTATGATTAGGAAATGCAGCATTAAGCACAAGCACACAAGCACACAGGCACATAGGCAAAGCAAAGGACCGCCGGAAGTCAGTCATACAGCAGCTCTGAGAAGGATAAAGGGAGAGGGGGAGACGAAGGAAGAGAGGGAGAGAGGAAGAGAGACCGAGGGAGCAGGAGAGAGAGAGAGAGAGAGACTCTGAGAGAGAGAGAAGAAGAGGGAAGATACATAATGGGAGAGAGAAAGCGAGAGCAAAGGGAGAGAGCCAGAGAGAGGAAGAGAGGGAGTGAAAGAAGGAGAAAGAGGGAGGAAAAGGGAGAAAGAGGGAGGAAGAGGAGGAAGGAAGAGGGAGAAAGAGGGGAAGAGCAAGAGAGGACTTGTATTATTCTCCATACAACTCCCAGATAAGACTCCTCCCAACAAACAGTCAATGAAAAAAGTGATAATTCTGAAGGTCATGGCTATGGCGACGAAGATGGCGATGGCGATCTAGCGAGAAAGATAATGGCTTCTTCATATCGATCCCCGTGACAGTAATTCCTATGACAATCGAGCGCACGACTAATACGGTATGTAATGGGAGTTGACCCGTGTGTGTAAGAATACAAACAAAAACTGCAACCAAAAAAAAAAAAAAGCAATGGAAAAAAAGAAAAAGAGTGACGGAAGAATTTGTTACCTGGACAATTTAAGCATTTTATTTTATATATTTATTTTATTTATTTTATTTCTTTATTTCATTTATTTATTTTATTTATTTTATTATTTATTATGTATTTTAGTAAATTTATTATATTATATTATTTATTTATTGTATTTTTTAAGTCGTGTCATCATTTGATCATTTGTCGCGTGAACAGAGAGAGTATCTGGGCATACTCGCACTACGAGTGTCTAGGATGTATCTGACCGCAATTACAGCCGGAGCAGGATGTATCTGACCGTCAGTACGTCCAGAGCTCATTCAAAAAAACTCTCTTGTTTAAGTATGCCCTCAATCAGCAAGGAAGGGAGATCATTCACACAATCGTCATCCTTCTACCTCCTCTCTCCTCCTCTCTCCTCCTCACCATAGCCATTGATCTCTGTGCTACCTACCTGGTCGATTTTTCGGTCCTCCCACACACATCCATAAGTCAGACAGGACCTCGCTCCATCACTCGCCAAATGTGAAAAACACGGAAGAACTCAAGTGTACATTTCCGCCTTCTGGCTGAAGATACAATCACCATTTACAGTAAAAATTTAACACGCTTGGTGACAAATGTGAAAA